CTTCAGAAATCATTCTAATATGCTGATTTTCTACTCAATAAACATTTCTGATTATTATCAATGTTGAAAACGGTTGTGCTGCCCGATATTTTTGTGGAAACCGTGATTCAGGATTCTCTGATGAATAGAAAGTTCAAAAGAACAACATTTATTTGAAATTGAAATCTTTTGTAACATTATAAATGTCTTTACTGTCACTTTTGATCAATTTAATGCATCCTTGATTAATGAAGGTTTTGATTTTTTTTGGGGGGGGGTGCAATATGAATATGAGGCAGACATGATCTTGATGGGTTTAATGAGATTCACCCATGGTTTCCTGCTATCCTCTCTATAATCTCTGCTCTCTCTGCTCTCTCCTCAGGTGACTAGTTGTGCCTGGGTGCCGGACAGTTGTCAGCTGTTTACAGGCAGTAAGTGTGGAGTCATAACCGCCTACAGCAACCGCTTCACCACCACGATGGTACGTAACCATGGCAACACGGCCCCCCTCTTCCCCCACCCACGCGGCCGCCCACGTCCATTATCACTCCCTGTAGAGCACCTACACACACACACACACACACACACAGTGTTTGTAGTGGCCTTGTTAGTCATCTCCCGGTTGCCCTAGAAACACATTTCCTGCGGCCCACAGGTGGGCTGAAGTCTGGGCGTCAGACGGCTCTTTCAAACGCTCGCTCATTGATAACGCAGGTGCCGTTCTGCTTCTCACGTTAGTTTAAATGAATCTTTCTGATATTAGAAGGAGTATTTCAGGTCTGTCATCATTCATGTATGTTGTTCCAAACCCATGTGACTTTGTCTTCCGAGGAGTGCAAAGGAAGATATTCTGAAGAATGTTCACGCTGCTCTTTTTCAAGATCAGAGGCTGTCAAAATCACCATAAATATGATGAAAATGTTCATTTTTCAGTGATTTAACTCTTACATACACTCTACATAGAGTAGACTTAAAGGGATGTAGATCCAGAACAGCCATTAAAGTTAACTTAAATTAGTCAAGAACTCATTTTTTACCCAAAATCAAAAGTAAGAAATAAAATTTTGCCAAAAGAAAATTAAGGCTATTTTAGGAGCATTACGAGCATTATTCTTTGTTACTGTAATGCACATAATTTTATATAAAAAAATGAAATATTTTAGTATATATTTAGATATACTGTTTAATTTAAAGTGCAATCAAACAGTATTACAATTAGTATCAAGATTTATATTTATTATTTTTATTTCGAGTTTTTATTAATACTTTGAATTCGTTTTTATATTCTTGGTTTTAATTTAAAATTTTTAGTAATTTTGTTGTGTTTTTGTCAAAATAAATTTTTTTATTATGTCTTTTTAATTTGTATTTCAGTTTTAGTTATTTTAGTACATGAATGAAAATGAGAAATGCTGCCTTGGCAACTAGCTGAAATAAAATAGGGTATTCTGAGGAATATTCAGTACTATAATATATATGAAATATATATATATTTCACAAAGTAAATTCAAGTGAGAAATAAGATAATCTAAAAAAAATTCTCACAGCTCTTTTTCAAGTCCAGAATCTGTCAAAAGCACCATAAAATAACCATGAATATAAATTTTTGGCTGATTTAGCTGTTAGCTGCACTCTACATACAGCCATGTGCTAGTTTGTTTACTCTGGCCCATAAAACCAGATCAGAATCATCTGTTAAAGCGTCTTTCAGCTCACTTCTGCTTATTGAGGCCATTATCCCTTCTCTAATGAGGCCATTAGCAAAACCCTTACCCTGTAGATCTGCTTGTAATTACAGTCATTCTCCATTGAGACGTGTGATGGTAAAGTCCGTTTCTTCCTCAGCCGACAGAGATGGAGGTGGAGACGCAGGTTCACCTGTACGGTCACACGGCGGAGGTCACGGGCCTGTTCGTCTGTAAACCCTACAGCATCCTCATCAGTGGGTATTCTGAGGAATATTCAGTACTATAATATATATGAAATATATATATATTTCACAAGATCAAAATATCCTTTAAGCACTTTTTCGGATTTAATGAATCTTTGCAGATTGCGGAGAAATGCTGAGTTTCTTCATTCAGTTCTAACAGCGTATATTGTGAGCAGCGCTGTATATGGACAAAGCGTCTCGTTATATAAATTCACTTCAGTAAATAACAAACTAATAAGGAGCTGGATTCAGCCTCATACTCCACGAACTGCTCTAACGAAATCCAAAATTAAAGCTCAATACACGCAGCCGTATTGCGCCATCAGCCCATTTCACAGCGAGGTTTCTCTGCTGTCACAGAGGAAGGCCATGATATTTTAAGTAAACTGGACCCTTGAACTTGACAAATGCACACAGTATTGCACCATTAGCCCATTTCAAGGCGCAGCCATCTCAGGATGCTTTAAAGTGGACATAAGGCTGTGATATAGGTAAAAAAGCCCATTTTTGAGCAATGTGCATCGAGCTCTTTATAGTAAAAATAGCAGTGACGGACAAAGGAAATAGGTTATAGTTTACATAAATCGGATATTGTAACGTGTGCACACATGAAAAGTTTTTTTACAAATGTCCCTTTAGGGCCTCCGTATATATATATATATATACTCCTACAGCATCCTCATCAGTGTCAGTCGAGACGGGACCTGCATCCTGTGGGACCTCAACAGGTCTGTGCTTCTTAGATCACTGTAGAATTTACATTTCATGCATTACATTTACATTTATGCATTTGCCAGACCTGCCTTATAATTATTTGTGAAATTTACTTGCAGTTTCTGAGTGAAAGTTGTTTCAATGTAAATCCTACACCAATTTTTGTTGTGTATTTAAAGTACTTTTACATCAAAGTAGCAGTAAATTACTTTAATATGTGACCCTGGAGCACAAAAGCAGTGTTAAGACGCTGGGGTATATTTGTAGCAATAGCCAAAAATACATTGTATGGGTCAAAATTATAGATTTTTCTTTTATGCCAAAAATCATTAGGATATTAAGTAAAGTTTATGTTCCATGAAGATATTTTGTAAATTTCCTACTGTAAATATATTAAAACTTAATTTTTGATTAGTAATATGCATTGCTAAGAACTTCATTTGAACATTTTCTTCGTTGTGTCGAAGTAATGATAAAATAAAGAAGGTTTCTTTTGTGTTAGGTTGTGTTACGTTGAGAGTCTCACAGGTCACAAGAGTCCAGTGAACGCCGTGTCAGCCAGTGAGACGACAGGTGATATCGCCACAGTGTGTGATTCAGGTGTGCTGCTTTTCCTGTGACTGTATAAATCGTTGTTTTATTGTTGTTAAGTTCTCAATTACAGTGTAAACCAGTTGGTAAAAAATATTTGCAAATATTAATTTGTATAGAATAATTGTAATAATTTTATGTTCTCTTCGTGTGTGTGTGTGTGTGTGTGTGTGTGTGTACAGTGGGTGGAGGAAGTGATTTGAGGCTGTGGACGATCAACGGAGATTTGATTGGTCATGTTCACTGTCGAGAGATCATCTGTTCAGTGGCGTTCTCCAATCAGCCGGAGGGAGTGTCGGTCAACGTGATCGCTGGCGGACTGGAGAACGGTGTGGTCAGGTAAAACATGAAAGCACAAACTCTACACTGTTTGGGACTATTGTTTGTTTAATTATTTTTCTTACAGTGACTTTAAAAACAAGTTTCAATAGTTGTCTTTGACGATGCATAACAACTGCACAACTATTTGTGTAACAATTGAAAAAAATGGAATGAGATTATGTACTCGTCTTCTCGCCATTCAAAAGTCCAAGTGATGTAACTTATAAAATGGGTTAAAAAACAGTGGTTACAAATAAAGTATAGAGAGATTTTTTTTTTTTACTCTGTTTGTATACTGTATATTAATATATAATAAGAAGACTCTCATCAGTGCTTTCCTTCCTTCTTCTCTGTCATCATATTTCAGGTTGTGGAGCACATGGGACCTGAAGCCAGTCAGAGAGATCACCTTCCCAAAATCCAACAGGCCTATCAGAAGGTACACACTTTTACCTCATATGACACATGGATTTATTCTAATATCTTTATTAGAAAAGTTACATGCACCTATACATTACTGGTCACTACGGCTCACCAAGGCTGCATTTATTCAATAAAAAATACAGTAAAAACACTAATATTGTGAAATATTACTACAATTTGAAACTTTTTTTTAATGTGAATATATAGTAAAAATTTAATTTATTCCTTTGATGTAAAGCTGAATGTTCAGCATCATTACTCCAGTCTTCAGTGTCACATGATCCTTCAGAAATCATGATATTTTTGGAAAATAAAATATAATTTTTTTTTGTGAAAACCATGATACACTACCATTCGAAGGTTTGTGGTAAATACAATTATTTAAAAAAATTATACTTTTCTTCAGCTAGGATGCATTAAATTGATCAAAAGTGACAGTAAAGACATTTATAATGTTACAAAAGATTCAATTTAAAAAAAAATTGTTCTTTTGAACTTTCTATTCATCAAAGAATCCTGAAAAATAAAATGAATCACGGTTTTCAGAAAAACATTGATAATAATCGGAAATGTTTCTTGAGCATCAAATCAGCATATTAGAATGATTTCTGAAGGATCACGTGACACTGAAGACTGGAGTAATGATGCTGAAAATTCAGCTTTGATCACAGGAATAAATTACTATTACTATATAATCATAGAGAAAACAGCTATTTTAATATGTAATAATATTTAAAAATTTTACTGTATTATTGATCAAATAAATGCAGCTTCGGTGAGCAGAAGAGACTTAAATCTTAATAACTGGTAGTGTAAGTGTCCCGTGGTTAAATAACATTTCCTTCTGGATTCTCTCTCAGTCTCATGTTCTCGTGTGACGGTCATCACCTCTACACGGCGAACAGCGAGGGCACAGTGATCGCGTGGTGCCGTCGAGACCAGCAGCGCATGAAGCTACCCATGTTTTACTCGTTCCTCAGCAGCTATGCTGCAGGCTGATCCTGCGTCACGCCGCTCGTTACCCACACCGGACGGACGCTGAGAGCGACCCCACTGACCCAGGAAGAGGAGGAGCCAGCATGCACAAAGCCCCGCCCACGATCATCACAGAACCCACCCACTGAAACACCATAGGAACGGATGCCACTTGTACCATAAAGAGCAGGGGCTCGTGAGGCAGCGCGAACGCAGGCCTTTCCCCGCATCATTTCTCCTTGTCTGTTTTGACTGATTCATCTAGTATTTGTGTTGATTATGAAAGCTGCTACAATCTGGTCTGCCCAGACCGAACGTTTGAAGGCCTTTCCTTCTTAATGTCCCTCGTCTCGCCCACCCGTCACCATCCTGAGAATATCCTGCTTTCGAAGCCAAACCAGACTGCAGTCATCTGAACACTACCGACCGTCTGCGCTCCTGCAGAAACGGCATTCATGATCCACACGGCAGGTTTTAAACGGACGATTAAAAACTGGTGCATGAGTGACATGCAGCGGCGTAATGAATGTGTGCACGCAATGCCTTCTTAAACATCATCCCTCATCGACAGACCGCTGAAATATTTATTCTCAAACAAGGATGAAAGCCACAATCTCAACGTCTGGTTCTTGTTCTTCATTATAAAATGCACTCGGGACAATCTTATGAATGTCAAAGGTGGTCGTGTGTCACTCGTCAATCGCCGACTGTGCTAATATTTATCCTGTGCTTTTCCACCTGAACAAACGTCCCAGTTACCACATCCGATTTGTAATAGTTCATTAAAAACATGTTCTGCTTGCTTATTTCCTGTTCTAGTTTTATATATAGCATGTTATGATCACTTGAACATTATTTAACATTGGCGATACAATATAAGGTTTAGTCAGATCTACCTCTAGGCCCCTCTTACGAATAAAAGACAAATACAATTAGAAATACTTCTGGTAACAATAAAAACAACCTGTTTATTGTACAAAGACGACGACACTATATCCCTAAAAAAATACAATTCCCTGACAGTACAAAGGGTTCGGATGCTCTTGAAGTCTTAAGTGTTGACAGCCTTAAATGTGGAGGAAGAATAATTGAATTTGAGTCCACCATCTAAACATGATCCAGAATGTTGTTTGCCTTTGTTTGTTTCCTATTCTGTATTTGCTTTTAGCACGAGTCTTACATTACAACTAATTTAATTATCTTGTCTTACATTTGAGTGTTTACCAGAAAGGGAATGCTTTCACCTTTTCCCCCATTACTACTTTGTTTTTGGAGCCAGCATGCACAAAGCCCCGCCCACGATCATCACAGAACCCGCCCTCTAAAACACCATAGGAATGGACGGCACTTGAAGCTACTGTACCATAAAGAGCAGGGGGTCGTGAGGCAGAGCGAGCGCAGGCCTTTCCCCGCGTCATTTCTCCTCGTCTGTTTTGACTGTGATTCATGTAGTATTTGTTTTTGATTTTGTGATGTTTGATTTTGAAAGCTGCTACAATCTGGTCTGCCCAGACTGAACGTTTGAAGGCCTTTCCTTCTTTTTGTCCCTCGTCTCGCCCACCCGTCGCCATCCTGAGAATAGAAATCCTGCTTCTGAAGCCAAACCAGACTGAAATCATCTGAACACTACCGTCCGTCTGCGTTCCTGCAGAAACTGCATTCGTGATCCACGTGGGAGGGTTTAAACGGGACATTTTCAGCATGTGAAACTCGTGCATGAGTGACATGCAGCGGCGTAATGAATGTGTGCACGCAATGCCTTCTTAAACTTCATCCCTCATTGACGAACCGCTGAAATATTTATTCTCAAACAAGGATGAAAGCCACAATCTCAACATCTGGTTCCTGTTCTTCATTATAAAATGCACTTGGGACGATCTTATGAATGTCAAAGGTGATCGTGTGTCACTCATGAATCGCTGACTGTGCTAATATTTATCCTGTGCTTTTCAGCCTGACTTTGTTTAACAGACACAAACGTCCCAGTTACCACATCAAATTCGTAATAGTTCATTAAAAACTTTCTTCTTTTCTGTTCTAGTTTTATGTGTTGCATGTTATGATCACTTGAGCATTATCTAACATTGGCGATACAATATAAAGTTTAGTCAGATCTACCTCTAGGACCCTCTTTAACAAATACAATTAGGAAAACATGTTTATTGTTCAAAGATGACGCTATATCCCTAAAAAATTACAATTCCCCGTCAGTACATTCAGATTGTCACAAGGATCAGATGCTCTTGAAGTCTTAAGTGTCGACAGCCTTAACTGTGGAGGAAGAATAATTGAAGTCCACCAACTAAACATGATCCAGAATTTTCTTTGCCTTGGTGTTTGTTTTTTTCCTGTTCTGTATTTGCTGTTAGTTTTAGTCGTCCATGACAACTAATTGAATTATCTCGTCTTACATTTTAATGTTTACCAGAAAGGGAATGCTTTCACCTCTTCCCCCACTACTACTATGTTTTCAGAAATATCTACCATATGTATCACTTCAACCCTCAAATGAAGTTATTCAGTCAATGCAAATCCAAAAAAAGCAAGACAGTCGACTAGTTCGGGAGAATCATCTGGTCTTTACAGAGCCCTGGTTATGTGTTTGGTTTATTGTTTTTGAATCTATTTTCCATGCTTGCATCACATTTATCTCTTAATTATCGTGCACAGTATTGTCATGTTTGCATTTCCTCAGAAAGAGATTGATGTTACTGTCATCGTGTGAATTTGTAAAGCGAGATGTGTGAATTTATTTGACAAAACTATCACGAAAAGGCATATTGTTATCGTTCTGTTGAATTAACTGTAGTTTATGTAATTTAAGATTATGTTCACCAAGGCCTGGCTGGGACATTTATTCCTTTTTTTTTTGTATTTATGAAATATGTAATAAAATGTCACCTATATATAATATAAATATAAATATTCAAGAAATTTTGATTCAGTTTGTTGGACTTGTTTCTTCTATACAATGTTAAAAATAAAGGTTCACTTTTTGCAGGGATTCTATAGAAGAACCATCCGGTGATCATCAGTTCTTAAAAGAGCCCGTTTTTCTTAGAGTAAAGAACATTTTAATAATCTAAACAACCTTTTTACACTATAAAGAAGTGGAATTTTGTAGGATGGAAAGGTTCCATGGATGTTAAAGGTTCTTCACAAAACCATCGATGCCAATAAAGTTCCTTAAGCTGGTCTTCATAGCGATGCCATTGAAGGAGCTTTTTTCAGTGAACAGCTCTTAAAAGAACCCATTTTCTTAGTGTGAAGAACTTTTGAATATCTAAAGAAACTTTTTCCACTATGAAGAACCTTTGGATGGATGTTAAAGGTTCTTCATCAGTTTCTGCCGGTCTTAAAAAGTCTTAATTTGACCTACACATTAAGGTGTTAAATCGCAGCGGAAAGTCTTAATTTCATAAAGTCATGGCATTAAATGTTACATGCACTGCAAAAAAAAACAACATCTAAACATCCTTAAATCAAGATGCATTTACTCGAGTTGGAAATTTAACATATGAAGTCTTTTTTTAGTTTTTTGAGAAATTGAGTTTTACTTTTAGAGAGCATGATGTATTGTGTTCCCTTCATTCATCTTAAAAAGCATTTACCTTCATAAAACCTGCAGAAACCCTGATTGATGGAACCATATCCCAATAAAGAACCTTTATTTTATTCTATATTGCTCAGTTCTACACTCTTAAAAAAAGGATCCAAAAGAGGAATTTCATAGCGATACCACAGAAGAACCGTTTTTGGTTCCCCAAAGAATCTTTCAGTTCTTAAAAGAACCTCCGTTTGTTTTCTATTCTATTCTATTCTATGCATCAAGTTCCCAACTGCATTTGTGTCTATAATTCGTGAAACTTGCTATATACTCTTCACAGTGTTACGTCACAGCGCGAGGCGGTTACGTCATCTCGGTGACCGGGAGACCCGGTGATGTCACATTAAGCAGGGAAACCTCACGTGCCTCCGGTGCGCCCCGCAAAAACGAGTCTTAACGATCCTCCGCCGACACCGAGCGTCTTCTGCCGCGGCGCGTCCGTCGGGCTTCTTAAAGGCGCAGCGACACCTGCGTCCTCCTCGCGTCACATCGAGGTTCCCCTCACATCTCGTGAACCGACACCGACTCCAGCGCCAGAGCAGAACGCGGGGAAACACTCGACGTTTAACGGCGTGCGGCGAATGAACGCGAGCGGACGGACGGTGACCGTGTTCGAGGTGTTGCGGGTTTTTCCTCGTCGCGTTCGGGTGGAGTCGAGCCATACTCTGAAGTCTGAGCCTTGACACACTTCAGGTGGGTGTTGACTTCAGCAGCAGGTATTTGTGCGAATTGCCTTAAATCGCGTTCCCTGTTCTATTGCATTAGAACGTTTTTGCAACATTGTAACAAATTCCAGCGTTCCGAACGCGGCTTCACGGGTGTCGGATGCGCTTGTTGTGTTACAGTCGAATTTAAAGGCGCTTGTGCTGTAGATCCAGTCTGAAGGGACGCGGGATGATGGACTGATCCCGCAGGTTTTTTGGGGAATGATGCTGGAAGCTTGGGCGTTTGATTCCATCGGCTTTATATCGAAACGCTCGGCTGTGAGCATCGTAAAGATCCAGATGAGCGAAGCGTTCAGTGATCAGCTTCAGCAGCTCTGTGATCATTCTCGAAATGGCCTTGAATGAACAGATGGAGGAATAATAATCACGACCCTCGTGTTTTTTTTTTTTTTTGTTTTTTTTTTGCTGATTCTAGATTTTGAGCACATGTCGCCTACAAATAATGAGCATTAAATATGAAAGCTAAAACGGTTTCGGGTAAATGTTAGTTTATTTCTATGATGCATGTTATTCACCCAAATGCTCCAGTGCTTCTGGCCTGTCTTCAGCATTGATGTGGCGCTGCATGCACATGAGCACGATGGATGCTTTCAGCTTCATAAACGCCTTTTTAACCCATATGTTCTGTTGGGATTCTCTTTAATGCTGTGTAGTGATTAATGTGTCAAAATGATTCAAAATGAACCTTTTAGCTGCTCCTCTGACCTGTTTTGACAGGTGTTAATGGAGCTGTTATATCACAGCATTGTGACATAGACTTGAGAAATGGTGCAAAACACACTGTGCAAGGTTTATAGTTCTGGAAAATGCACGGAAATGAATAAAATCATAAAAAGTCATGGACATTTCTATAGTGAATATATACACTGCCGTCAGTGAGAATGTTTTTGAAAGTCTCTTCTGCTCACTAAGTCTGCATTTATTTGTATAAAAAATAATGTAAAAATTGCTAAATATTTTTAAAATTTGAAATAACAGACTTTTATTGTAACATATTGTAAAATATAATTTATTCCTGTGATCAAAGCTGTATTTTCAGCATCATTACTCCAGTCTTCAGTGTCACATGATCTTCAGAAATCATTCTAATATGCTGATTTGCTGCTCAAGAAAACAATTGTGCTGATGAATATTTTTTAGCAAACTGATATATTTTATTTTTCAGGATTCTTTGATGAATGGAAGGTTCAAAAGAACAGCATCTATTTGAAATGTAATCTTTTGTAACATTATAAATGTCTTTACTGTCACTTTTGATCAATTTAATGCGTCCTTGCTGAATAAATGTAGTAATTTCTTGCATAAAAAAATCTTACTGACCACAACATCATCAAGTCATGATTTCATGGCCTTACATAAATACTGTCACATGGAGACTCAGTTACAGTAAAGTACTGTAGTAGTACCATGGTAAAGTGCTAATATCAGATGGTAATAGTACTTTTTTTTTTTACTTTTACATTCGTATCTTTTAACCTCATCCTATATGAGATTATACTTCTTATGTAACTTCTGTGTTACATCTTATGTCTTTGTATTTGTCTGTTAATCTGTTTTTTTTCCTATCTTCAAAATTCTATTTGAATTTATTTATTTAATTGACTTTTAGTACTTTGATATATACATACCATGGTACTGAATGATTACAGTCTTCATATACAGTGGTATTTACTTGATACGCCAAGGTACTCATAAGAATACAATGGGACTGCACTGGTATACCATAGAGTATTTTGTGTTGGTGTCCAGTGTAATTTTGTTGAGATCGTCTGGAGTCAGTGCTGGTTGTGAAGTCAGATGTGCTGTAATAATACAGAAGTAGGAGCATGTTGGTTTCCTGAGCTCACAGACTCTGAGTAGCTCATCTGGTGTGTGTTTTGTGTGCAGGACTCATGAAGGACGGAATGGCTAATAACAGCACCGCCAGCATCTCTCAGGCCCGGAAAGCCGTGGAGCAGCTGAAGATGGAGGCCTGCATGGACAGGATAAAGGTCTGTGTGCGTTTCTCTGTGTTTTAAACTTATCAAACTCATGAAAATGTCAAAATCAACCATTTACTTCACTGGTATGGGCACAAGAAAAACATGTGATTTTTATCACAAGTACAACTAAAGAATCTTTTATAGTTTCCTTTTGTATGGAACAGTTTTACTTGAATTTAAACAAATGTTTGATTAATTTCTGTCCCGAAATAGCCTTTGAAGCTGGTATGGCAATAAAATACAAACAGTTGTGAATGATTAATCAGTGCACAGTATTCATTCATTCACTCACTCACTCACTCACTCATTTATTGAAGCTGGTATGGCTATAAAATACAAACAGTTGTGAATGATTAATCAGTGCACAGTATTCATTCATTCACTCACTCACTCACTCACTCATTTATTGAAGCTGGTATGGCTATAAAATACAAACAGTTGTGAATGATTAATCAGTGCACAGTATTCATTCATTCACTCACTCACTCACTCACTCATTTATTGAAGCTGGTATGGCAATAAAATACAAACAGTTGTGAATGATTAATCAGTGGACAGTATTCATTCATTCATTCACTCACTCACTCATTTATTGAAGCTGGTATTGCAATAAAATACAAACAGTTGTGAATGATTAATCAGTGCACAGTATTCATTCACTCACTCACTCACTCACTCATTTATTGAAGCTGGTATGGATGGAAAATACAAACAGTTGTGAATGATTAATCAGTGCACAGTATTCATTCATTCATTCATTCACTCACTCACTCATTTATTGAAGCTGGTATGGCAATAAAATACAAACAGTTGTGAATGATTAATCAGTGCACAGTATTCATTCATTCATTCATTCACTCACTCATTTATTGAAGCTGGTATGGCAATAAAATACAAACAGTTGTGAATGATTAATCAGTGCACAGTATTCATTCATTCATTCACTCACTCATTTATTGAAGCTGGTATGGCAATAAAATACAAACAGTTGTGACTGATTAATCAGTACACAGTATTCATTCACTCACTCGCTCACTCACTCACTCACTCATTTATTGAAGCTGGTATGGCAATAAAATACAAACAGTTGTGAATGATTAATCAGTGCACAGTATTCATTCATTCATTCATTCACTCACTCATTTATTGAAGCTGGTATGGCAATAAAATACAAACAGTTGTGAATGATTAATCAGTGCACAGTATTCATTCATTCATTCACTCACTCACTCATTTATTGAAGCTGGTATGGCAATAAAATACAAACAGTTGTGAATGATTGATCAGTGCACAGTATTCATTCATCCATTCACTCACTCATTTATTGAAGCTGGTATGGCAATAAAACACAAACAGTTGTGAATGATTAATCAGTGCACTGTTTTCACTCACTCACTCATTCATTCATTCATTCACTCATTTATTGAAGCTGGTATGGCAATAAACACAAATACAAACAATTGTAAATGATTAATCAGTTTTTAATATTTTTATTTATTGAAGATGGTATTGCAATAAACACAAATACAAACAATTGTGAATGATTAATCAGTGCACAGTTGTTATTTATTTATTTATTTTATTTTATTGTTTGCAAAGATAAGATTGTAAAAGTATTGTATACAATTCATTGAAGTATTATTGTTATGATTATTTTAAATTGTATTGCTCTTTGCTTGGCCATGAATATACTGTAGCCTTTGATGCTGATATGGCATTAAATAATAAATTAATTAATTAATCAGTGCATGTTAATACAAAGAAAAAATGCATACAGATACATTAAAACAACAAGCATGACTTTCCTTTTTATCTGATGTCGCTGAAGCCCTTGATGGATTTTTTTTTTCTTGTTGAATATCCTGTTTCACTTAAAAGTACCTCTGACTAGGGAAGTAAAAACACTTCATGTTTCATGTTGATTGTCATTTTTTTTACTGTTATATGGCCACTTAGTCCCACCCCCAAACTCACGTGATTGGTTGAGTCAGAGGTTGACAAGTCAAACAAACAGATCAACTATTTTAACCCATCTAGTGTCTCTTCATTAACCCTCTAAAGCAATTATATTATGGAGATTTGTAAAAATCAATAAATCAATGGCCTGCTTACTGTAAATCATACTTCATTCATATTAGGGTTGGGCCGATAGACGATGCCATCGTCCATCGCCGATGGCTGACAGACATAACAGTGTTAAGCTGACATCGTGACAGGATCCTCAGGATCTCGCCATCGTCCTATCAGACTTTTCTCCTTACTCTGTGTATGTGGTAAGTGAACTTTCATGACTTTCATGTA